CTGCAAGAATGAACTCTAAGCTCCCCCTTGAGGCAAACATTCAGATCATTTTTATATAATGTTTGATTATTCAGTAAGAAGATATGCCATGCTAAATAAAGGGTATGTGTTTATTTTGCTAAGAGATGTAAGTTAGCTAGTTGTGAGCAATGAAATGAACAGAGCATTTGAAGTTTTTACGGGGAATATCTGCGATGTATATCAGTTTTAAGACTGTTTGTAGTTAAACAAACCCTCTTTTGTTTCCTTTAGTCTCTCATGCATTGTAACCCAGTTGATGTACTGTAAATGGAACTGACAATTTTACAGTGTAACAATTATTTATCTTTGCATAAATGTTTGATACAAAATATTTGTTTAGTATTTATTTTCACACTTAACACAATTTTTAATCCTCAGGCACACAAATTATTTTATTAAATATTAATGTGGTTGCTGGCAGAAATAGACGCTATGTTGTGACATCAATCTGACATGGCAAAATTAGAGGATTCATAAAAGTCATTTGATGTCATATAATTAATCCATTTTGCCAAGGAACGAGAGTAACTTTTTGACATATTCTTCCAAGGTCAACATAAAAAATTTTGCAAGTGGTACGTCATTAGTGTGATGTTTTTTTGAAGGCAGCCATTAGTTTTAAGTAATTTTTTTTTTTTTTACTTTTCTCAGGAAAAAAAAAATAATACTGTAGTGGATGAGAGTTTGAGACTAAAATTACTTGTTTGAGTATATCTATGTAAGAAGGACATTAAGGATGATTTAAATATAGCTAATAGTTTGTTGGAATAATACGTTGGATCAAAAAGAAGACAAATGGCTTTTCCTGGAAGTGGCACTATTAGATTGATCCCAACATTACTGAGACTATTAGCTAGAAAAGCATTAATTATGTTAATTGATAGACAGATTTAGAGGCAACCCTGATGCATTTGAAGTTGTCTTTTAGAGTTATTATTAACATCATTAATATCCATTCTCTTGGGTTCCTTAACAGCTTTCTTTGCCATAAGAGTGGTTTTACCAGCCATTAGGAGCAGATGCTGGGGTGGCAGCAGTAGCACTCTGGCTGATTTGTTGGTGACACTGTTGCTGTAGTGGAAAGTTAAGGGGTTTTGCTGCAGTTACAGCAAGAACTGAAGAGCAGGAGTTCAGACTGGTTGACTTCACATTAAAACAGGTTCAAAACTACTGATGGGTGAAAGTTGGAGAGAGATGCCAAAAAGATAACTGCATTACTCTTTGGGTTGCCTACACTGTGCTAGCTAATGTCAACCACAGCTTGGAGTTCAGAGATAAATGTGTATCAGTTTTCCTGAGTGAATAAAAAAAAAATACTTGAAAGTTCAATACCACTAATGCTAATTGTGCAGTGCTCTTGCTGAAGCATTTTCAGGAGCAACTTAAAGTTGCTGTTCTGTCATATTTTTACTTTCCCTTTGAAGAAGACTTCTTCTGCAGTGCAGATTAAGTATTGCTATTTCTATTTAAAATATTCTGTAATTTTTCCAGTCAGTCACAATTCTGTTTAATCCCTTACTGTGATTTCCTTTATGGTGGCTGCAAATAGAGAGAAAATACTATGATCCTTCATGATCACAAAGACCATAATTGTCTTATTTTAAATGAAGTATTTCTTAACTAAGGGCAAGAGATGCGTCTTTCTCGAGAGCAGTTGTGGTAAAAGAAAAATTTTTTAACTTAACTATTTCTTCATACTTTGTACTTTCAAAGGACTTACAAAGGTGTAGCAATCGATATTATAATTAATGCAGCAGGAGTGATTTCCATGCAGCAATTAGGAGAATGCAAATAGTTTCTGATGTCTTCTTTACGGAGTGAAAGTGATAGCTGGACATGGGCCAGTCTTAAACTCTATGTGAAGGAAGAATGGAAAGTGGCATGCAATGCTTTTATTATAATATAGTCAGATTATATATGTAAATAAGAAATATTGGTTATTGGGAAAAAGTATTTCCATGTCATATCACCTGTTTAGTGGAAGGAAGTAATTTCCTTCTATGTATTTCCTTTGCTTAGGATGTAGTTCCTAGATACTAGGTAAAAATCTAAAGAAACTTAAGAATCCTGTGTAGAAGACTACAAATGGTGCACAGATCAAATTTATATATAGTTTTATGACTCTCACCTTTAGGCTGATGATTCTTTTCCATGCAAAATATACAAATCCCGTACATAAACAAATTCTTTCATATTTATTTCCCTTATTTCTACACAGAAAAGAAATATAGTAGTAAGGGTAAAAGAGGAAAGGAGGAAAAGTGTGTTGCACACTTGCAGAGGGAACACCTAGAAATTATGACTTTATGCTGGTACTTCTTTTGAATTTTGCTGGGGCTTAGATAATTTAGAAAAATAAAACCAGGTATTTATGTGACTTGGTCTGTTACTGGCAACAGAATTGCTGTTTAAAAGAAGAAAAAAGACAATCTCCAAACCCCAAAATACCAGCCCACTCTATTCTTCATATTTATATTAAAATCTATGGAAGGGAGAAGGGAAAATGATTTCCAATTTCAGGTGACAGATTTTATCACCTAGAGCCACTTTGAATAAGCTTATTGGCTTTTACATACAGCTATAGGGTGTCCCCTCCCAGTGACCATGTTCCCTTATGCTCCCTGTGTCTCTAAATTTTTAATCCTTCTGAACAGCAGCAGCAGGCGAGACGAGAGATGAAGCCTTAGCTACTTCTCAGATGGATGGCATGCCTTCAGTTTGGCATTTTAAAAACATCATCAGGGAATAATTTTTTTTTTTTCCATGTAGCGGTCTTGGCCTTTTGCAAGCAGGAACATCTGAGAGATAAATTGTTTGTTTCCTTTTTCAATCTTTTAACCTCTTAGGTGCAAGCAAATGTTAAGTCAGCATCAGCCTTCCACCCTCTATTTCAAAGCATCTTGGAACTGTGGCTTGATTCGAAATTAACCACGCTGCCTGTGTTTTAATGTAGTAATGACTGGTTTCTCCACAGGTTAATATGCAGGAAACTGAAGTAATGGATGCTGAATGAAGATTAGAATGTGGTCAACTGAGGTTATGGGAGTTTTAGCCAGACATAAAATAGTTGAAATAAAACGGTTATTTATAATTATGCTAGTCCATATTACATATATATTTTTATATCAGAGTTTATAATAGGAAATTTTTTAGTCTGAAGGGATGGTGTATCAATGTATACCTCAAAATGCATCTATGCTTTGCATTTTGAGAAGCAAAAAATACAAATAAATAAAAGTATATTACTGTGTTTCTGGGAAGTGCATTTTTTAGTGACTGGATCTGCTTTGTGTTGGCTCTTGTATTTCATTAAGAGACTAAAGCACAATTTACAGCACTGATATATGGTAAATAATGCAGAAATCATGTCACATTTTAATTAAGCATTTCAATGTTTTTACTTCGTCTGAATCAATTTATACTGATAGCAGAATGCAGTTTATTTTCAGTGGCTCTTTTCAAGTGAAGAAGAGTAACAGGAGCAACAGTATTCCACTGTGAAAGATAGGTTTTGCAACTTTGATGTTAATGTTAAAACTCTGTGGTTTATAGGGGGAGGAAAAGGTGTCTGAAACACCTTTTATCTTCTCTCTGGTTTAATTACATGTATCTGTTCTTGGTGATCATATATATATTGATAAAGCTAAATATTTTGGTCTGGACCTAACTCTCTAATGCTTACAAAGACCTGAGAACAGTTTGGGACTTGACGGTTTTAATCAATGACTGCCAACCCATACTTGTAAGCTACGCTTGTGTTTTTAGCACTTTGAATTTATACCTAGTGTTGTAAACACCAGGGGTGGGAGCTCCTTACAAAAATCATCATTCATCTACATGTAGATGTGTAGACACACGTACACAGTAAGTTAGAGTGCATTTTGTATTTTCATGCAGTGCTTTGTAATTGAAAATACATTAAATTCCTGCACTGTTTCCTGGAAACAGAAATAAAGGAAATGCATCATATTCTGCTAACAGTAAGACAGAACTGAATTTCAGCCATTTCAACAAGTAGACAATTATGTTTTAATAGAAACTCAAGCTCAAGAAGATAAACCACTTTTATTTTTTCCTTCATACTCTTTCCACTTTAGAGTTCTGTAGTGGGATGTGGTAGTAGGTTTTATACAAAGTGCAAAATCAGTATTAAAAGTCACCAGTATAGAAAAAGCATGTAATGTATCAAAGGAACTCCTACTTTTTATTTGCGGGGAATAGCTGATATTGATTACTGTCAGAGTTGGGGTTTTTTAAAAAAATGTTTTTTATGGGAGAAAGTTGCAGTATTGTGAGTCTATGTTTTAGTGTATACAAATACATATATATAATTGCTTGAATAATTGCCAAAAACACTTGCCTAAAAAGAAAACGCTATATGCAATCCTTATTTAACTATTAATTCCAAATGAATTTCACAAGAGAGAGCGTTTGGCATGCATTCAGTTTATTCATTAGAAAGCAGCATGATCCATGATCAGCCTTTATGCACAATCCATAAACCTCATTCTAGAGCTTTTTGTAATAGTCAAGAGTGAAACCCAGTTTAAACAGATAACATATACCTTCATTCTGATATGTAGGGAGATTATGGAGAAGAGTGGACTATGCATTGAAATGAAAATGCATGTTGAAAATTTAGACCATTTTTCAATAAAGCCTTTGCAGACTTCTTTTTATACTGCCATGCTTTGTAAAGCCCTCCACTTGCGTTTAATGCATTGGTGTTCAAAGAAATGTTTCCCTGTGGTCTCATATAAAAGAAAAAGTAAAATAATAAAACTATTTGTCAACAAAAACTGAAATATTGCTCTCAGTTGGTAATGGAGTTCTCAATTATTAATATTTTCCTCCCCGAAATGTAAATACTTATTCAGTTTCTCTAACTGTGAGATTGAAATGCCAGGCTGGTTTACAGCATTATACAGTGGCTTACTTTCAACCTCTAAATTCTATTTCCACCATTTAAAAATATCAAGCTAATAGATGATATTTCGGATCCAATCCACAAACATGGTGACTCGAACGTACACTCCGGGTCGTTTGGGAAGCGCGCACCTGTAGCCAAATGATGTTACACCAACCAAAACCCACTTGCCACCATCTTCAAATGTCAGAGGGCCCCCTGAGTCTCCCTGTGGTATGAAATTCAAAAGTTAAAAGTGAGAAGTGTCAACCCTGAAGCAAAGCCTATTTATGATGTTTTGCTCATGTCGATACTTAATCATAGATATTGTACCCTTGCATGTCTTGTGTACCAAAAGTGAGATCAATATGAATTCTCCCTGCGGAAAAATTCTTGACATAATCAATTCCCTTTTTCTCTTTTTTTTTTTTTTTTTAAATGTTGTGATCTTATCAGTCTTTCAATACAGGACTGTGTTTCAGATGACTTTTTTGACTTACTGCTTTTACAATTAGCCCTTCATCTTTCACAAAGCCTGAGTAAATGTGTAGGATTATTTTTAGTTGAATCTGTTGAGCCAAAATGCAGTTCTGTTTTCAGTCACCCCCAAGTTTCTGCAGTTTCAAATTTAGAGAAAAAGATGGCAAGGGTGCCAGAAAAGGAGGTGTCCTTTTCTCACACCTCCTTTGTGATAGTTTAGCCGGTGTAGCATTGCAACAGAGTGCAGGAGCCCAAATTTGATTCATCCCCCAGCCTGAGTAGGGGATGAGTCAGCCCTTAGTTTTGATGAGAAAGAAAACAATTACTATTTTTAGTTGTCTATTGAGTTAGTAGAACCAGTGTTATTTTTGTCGTCTTATGGGCCTGTGAATGGACAGTGCTGCAAGGACTTGGCCATTAAAATTCTTCTGCCTATAACTCCAGGGCGTCCACAAACGCTCAAAGGTGGTGACAGCAGCCTAAAGGCTGAACCACTGTCAGGCCTCATTGTTCGACTTTGCTTATGGTTGAATGGTCATTGATCACAATGCTGGTCACTTGTACTTCATATCAGCCTATGGTGCTATGCTTTTTTTTTTTTTTTTCCCCCCAGTATGAGGTTCAGAAGGCAAAAAGAGGAAAGCTACAGAGGCTGAAGCAAAATTAGTCTTGCATATGTTCCTCATTCTAGACTAAACTAGACAAAGTCACTGCACCTGGTGAAGGTAGAGTTTGTGAGGGCAAGGCGAGAGCAATTAGGTGAGAGTGCTCCATGTCAGAAGTGAGGAGAACCAACCAGTTTCCATGCCACAGACTCCATATTGCTGGAAAAAAAACCTGACCTGATGGCCAACTCTGGCTGCATCCTCAAAGAGAAGCAACGTGATATATGCAGAACTGGAATGCATAAAAACTAGACCACCAGCAAGCAGCATCTGAGATCGATGCAGAAAGTCTGCTTCTCTGAAATACGGTGGCATCTATGTACAAAAGGTCTCTGTAGTCTACAGATTATGGGGAAAAGCATCATTACTCTCTCCCGCTTTCTCTCTATGAGGTATTTCTGAGACTTCAATCTATTTTGTATTTATTTCTCTGTATTCTACTTTTCCCTAAAAGTGTTCCTCTTTCCTTCATGGAATTACTTCGCAGTAATTATTCAAAGCTTAGTATAGGAAATTTTCCACCATGGTTGTTATCCCTCCATGTCAAGATGTGTAAAAAATAGATTTTTTTTATCTTTTCAACTTGTATTCTAATAAAGTATTTAATAAGAAAGATACCATGAGGAGAAATTACTCCCATGGACAGCGATTGTCCTGGTTTTAATGACTGGAGGATCAGGAAGCATTTTATTCAGTAATTAGATGTGGTGTGTGCTAGCAGTGGAAATGCATTGCTTGTATTTACCTTACAGGTATCTACTTGTCCTATGTCATATCCAGCACAGATCATATTCTCAGTAATCGTATATTGTGGCATCAATTGTTCACATTTTTCATTTGGAAGGAGAGGGACCACTGCTTCTTTCAATATATTTGAAGTGGGACCTGATGGAAGTAAGAAGTACGTTTACCTGCTGTAATAAATATGTACATCCTGCTGGGAACACCGGCGGTTTTGTTCCTGTTCCCTCATGCTGGGGCTACTGCTGAGCACCAAGGAAGCTCTGCCTCACTGCTGCACAATTCGGGCTTACACCCCTGGAACATGGCCACTGATTAACCAGTGCTCATTAACTGAATCCTGCCTTTCATTTGCGTAATAGGGCTGCATTTGGCTATAATTAAATCGAGATTACTAAAATCAATGACTATCAACTCATGGTGAGGAGATTTAAGGGATAACTACGGGCTTAGAAGCTTGAATTGTCCTATGTTTCTTCACTATTCGTAGTGTGACTTCAACTATTTCAAGTTTTTATAACTATTTCTTTAACAAATTCCTACCCAAAATTTTAAATGCAATTTTAAATTGAAAATGTAGAAGCAAATGCATACAAGCAACTGTGGAAGTGAAATGGCATGTTTGTTATTCCACAGAGAATCCAAATCTGGAGCATATAATATACAAACAGAACATACATTTCACACTACAGTCAGTATGCTTGACTTCTGGGGGAGATCTTTTGCACATTGTCAGAAAAACTAATCCTCCTACACCACTAGTATATGAAAATAGGATGTACATATTTCATGTTGAAAGAAGTAGTCATCACAACTTCTGAGGGGATGCAATAAAGTTTTTTCATAATTTAATGATCTTAAGTATGCATATTTTTTTCCTAATAAATGTTATAACTCTATTAGTTCTTTTTAGAGAAGGAATGGTGGAGGGAGATATTTCCCAAATTTTCATATGGAGGAGTACCTCTCTAAGCTATTTGACCTTAGCAATGTCTGTGGAATGAGGAACAAGCTTTCCTTTATGGCTTCATGCCTGTCATAATTGTCTAAGCAGATGACCTACCTTCATACCGAATATTACCCCAGCCAGCGATGGAGCAGTTAATTCCTGGTAAAAACTGTTGATTTTTTTCTGGTAAGCAGATTGGTTGTATGTAATCTGTGAATGAGAAACAAGCAATCAGTTTCATTCTCTTCTCTGTATTCAGCTTTTTATGAAGTCACATAAGAAAATGTTCTTTAATTCAAACCCACTTTGTGGGCAAAATATCCAGGAAGTGCTTGACTGGATCCAGAATGGTTAGGTTGCAAAAAATGTCCAACCACCTCATCACCCTCATGTGCTTACAACAGATAGAGTTTTGCAAAGCACAGTAAATCTGGTTTGTGACAAAATAAGAACTCACCTGTATATTGCACTTTGTATTGAAGGTGCATGAGAGCAATATCACTATCTTTTGTACTCTTCATGTAATGAGGATTCATAACTATTTGGTCGATGTTTCGAACTACTGTTGAAGGCTGTGTCATATCTGATTGGTCGTACAAGCCAAGAACTGCTTTCCATTGAGATGGTTTTAATTGCCTCCTAGAAGTTGCAGGGAATATTCACAATTATGAATGATTAATTAAAGCTTTGAAAAATATGTTACGTAAAATGCTAATCTTTAACTTTCTGGTAATTCATACTATTTGCATATTTTGTCAAAATATAAACAGAATGTTTATATGCGCTTACAATTTTGTGATAGTAATACTATCTTTAACATCCACGCTGTAGAAGTATGTGATTGATTTTTTATGTTAAGCTTATAATGCATTATTTATAAAGAATTAATCACAGAGTAGTGCAGAGGAGGAAAATACATTAACTAAATTACTATGGCTTTTTAAACACTGTGAAGAATACTACTGACTGCCCACCAGGCAATTAATATCAGTCCCAGTCAGAAAATTATTATGGAATATTTAAAGAATAATAGTTCTAAAATGTCACTGGAAATGCTGCAGCCCACAGACTTGGAAAATTGGTCTCTTAATTTTTTAATCTATGTTGAAAATATATGTTAAGACAAAATGTGATCTAATCTGCATTTTTTTTGCTGAGCTACGCATACTGGTTTGAGTCTTAGTTTAAGTCACAGAACTTAATTATTTGCTATTTTTTAATCAACCAGTTCATAGTTTCAAAAATGTTTTCGTCCTGCCTGTTGTACTGAATTGGTTTCTGCTGATCTTTGGGTTTGACATCGAGAAGTTGTCTTGTTCTAAACTAGTAATATTTATGTTAAATGTTAATTTAATGTTAAATGTAAAACTGCAATCTCCCACTTAGGAAAATTCCAGCAAACTCAAGATGATAAAATGTGATTAAAGTGAAAACAGAAAGGTAATTTAAGTGAAAAGGGAGTACCAAAGCAGGTGTTGATTTATTGCGTGAAAACTGAGAGGGCTTGATCCTTCTCATTTCAGTGTCTGTGTGTGGAACACAGCTCCTGTCATTCAGTGAGGCAGCGTTAGTGTATTGGCAAAGTCTCCACTGCCTTAATACTTATCTCCTTGTACTGAAAGCTCTACTATAATTATGAATATTATTGTTTCTCTTTTTGCTATTCTAGTTTCTAGGTGTCTTCTACAGCACTTGTTTTTATTGTAGATGTTATGGAAGCAAACTCTAGAAAATATTTAAATATACATCACTTCCTTGAATGGCATAAATAAAACCATCTAGAGAATATCAAATATTGCCTAGTCAATGCACATAAATCAAGATTCATCCCAGTGATGCACAGTAAATCTTGATCAATCTATGATAAATATACAGGAGGAACAGACAACAATCAGTTTACCTTTGTGAGGTATGATGTCATCCTTTATACCACTGGCAGAGATTCAACTAATTAATGGAGGCTCACATTAGTTATGGGTTAAGTGCAAATGCTCAGTATTAATACCATATGTTTAAGGTGCAATTCTCTTGTTCCAAAAATTATGTTTAGTTTCTATGATTTCCTGCTTTAAAGTAAGGACTGAGGGTTTACAAGAAAGTGAAAGAATCTTTAGGTGAGCCCACAAATGATGTAAGACATAGTAATTAAACAGTGAGCTAGCTGTTATTCGTTTATATCGGTGTCACAAATTATTCATAATCTGATGCCTCCTTAGAGAACCTGCATGTAAAACACATGTTTCATCTACATCAAAATCAAAAAAGCAAGACATGGATGTCCCATGACCATCTTAGCTAGTTGCAAAGATGCCCTGGAGTCAGTGGAAAGACACTTATGAATTTACATTAATTTCATTCTAAAGTAAACAGAATCATAGAATCATAGAATCATAGAATGTTAGGGGTTGGAAGGGACCTCTAGAGATCATCTAGTCCAACGCCCCTGTCAGAGCAGGATCCCCTAGGGCAGCCACACAGGAACGTGTCCAGGCGGGTTTTGAAAGTCTCCAGAGAAGGAGACTCCACAACCTCTCTGGGCAGCCTGTTCCAGTGCTCCATCACCCTCACAGTAAAGAAGCTTCTCCTCATTTTGAGGTGGAACTTCCTGTATTCTAACTTAAACCCATTATTCCTTGTTCTATTACTGGGCACCCCTGTGAAGAGACTGGCACCTTCCTCTTGACACCCACCCCTCAGATATTTATATACGTTAATAAGATCCCCTCTCAGCCGTCTCCTTCCAAGGCCAAACAGCCCCAGTTCTCAGTCTCTGTTCATAAGAGAGATGTTCAAGTCCCTTAACATCCTTGTAGCTCTCCACTGGATTCTCTCCAGTAGGTCCCTGTCTCTCTTGAACTGGGGAGCCCAAAACTGGACACAGTATTCCAGGTGTGGTCCAACCAGGGCAGAGTAGAGGGGGAGGAGAACCTCCCTAGACCTGCTGGACACATTTTCTTAATACATGCCATGATCCCATTGGCCCTCTTGGCCACCAGCGCACATTACTGTCCCATGGACAACTTACTGTCCACTAGGACTCCAAGGTCTTTCTCCATGGGGCTGTTTTCCAGCAGGACATCCTCTAATCTGTACTGGTGCCTGGTGTTATTCCTCCCCAGATGCAGGACTCTACACTTGTCCTTATTGCACTTCATGAGGTTCACCTTTGCTCAGCTCTCCAGCCTGTCCAGATCTCGTTGGATGGCAGCACAGCCTTCCTGTGTGTCAGCCACCCCTCCCAGTTCCGTATCATCAGTGAACTTGCTGAGGGTGCACTCTATCCCCTCATCCAGGTCGTTGATGAAGATATTGAACAAAACTGGACCCAGCACTGATCCCTGGGGAACACCACTGGCCACAGGCCTCCAACTTGACTCTGTGCCACTGATCACAACCCCCTGAACTCTGTTGCTGAGCCAGTTTGCAATCCACCTCACAGTCCAATCACCTATCCCACATTTCTTGAGTTTGCCGATGAGGATGTTATGGGAGACAGTATTGGAAGCCTTGCTGAAATCGAGGTATATTACATCCACTGCTCTCCCTTCATCAACCCATCTGGTCATGCCTTTGTAGAAGGATATCAGATTGGTCAGGCAAGATTTCCCCTTGGTAAATCCATGCTGGCTACTCCTGATGACCTTTTCTTCTAATTGTTTAGAGATGGCCTTCAGAATGACCCACTCCATCATCTTTCCAGGGATGGAGGTGAGGCTGACTGGCCTGTAGTTGCCAGGGTCCTCCTCCTTGCCCTTTTTGAAGACTGGAGTGATACAGGCTTTTTTCCAGTCCTCAGGCACCTCTCCCATTCCCCGTGATTTTTGAAAGATAATGGAAAGCGGCTCAGCCACAACATCAGCCGACTCTCTCAGCACATGTGGATGCACCCTGTTGGGGCCCATGGATTTGTGTGTTTTCAGTTTTTGTAATAGTTCTCTAACCAAATGCTTGATGACAAGTGGAGAGTCATCCTCACTCCAGTTTTGCTCCCTTACTTCCAGTGACTGGAATTCCTGGGGGCTGGCCTTAGGAGAAAAGACTGAGGCAAAGAAGGCATTCAGTAATTCTGCCATCTCTACATCTTCTGTTATCATATCTCCCACTTCATTTAGCAGTGGACTCACTTTTTCCCTACTCTTCCTTTTCTAATTGATGTATTTGAAGAAATTTTTCTTGTTTTCATTCACTTCCCTAGCCAGACTAAATTCTAAGAGAGCCTTGGCCGAAAGGCTGTAATCCTCCCAATTAACCAGACCCTTTTAACACTTACTGTAAATTTCCCTCTTCCATTTGAGTTTTTCCAGGAGCTCCTTGCCTAACCATGCAGATCTCCTGCCTCCTCTACTTGATTTTCTTTTTCAGGGAATGCATTTATCTTGAGCCTGGTGTAGGTAGAATATGAATGTTGACTAGCTCTCTTGTGCCCTCCTACATTCTAGAATCCTAGCCCATGGGATATCGCTGAAGAGGACAAAGTTAGCCCTATTGAAGTCCAGGGTAGAAATTTTGCTTACTACTTTTTTTCTTTCCATAACAATACTAAACTCTAGCAAATCATCGTCACTACAGCCAAGACTGCCTCCAACCTTAACATCCGTGACCAGACCTTCTTTGTTTGTTAATACAAGGGCCGGCATCACACCTTTCCTCGGTGGTTCTTCAGCCACCTGCACCAGAAAGTTATCATCAATACACTGCAGGAACATTTTAGACTGATTATACTTGGCTGTGTGATCCTTCCAATTAATATCAGGGTGACTGAAGTCACCCATAAGCACTAGGCATGTGATCTTGAGTCTACTTCCAGCTGCCTGTAGAAGGCCTTGTCAACAACTTAGATGATCGGCAGTAGACACCCACAACAATATGTCCCATTTTGTATGTCCCTTAATTCTTACTCATAAGCTCTCAACACTCTCATCCTCTCCCATTGGGTTAAGTTCAATGCATTTCAGTTGCTAGAAACCCACTAAAAAGTGCTGCTCCCCAGTGGTTTCAGGATGATCCTTTGAAAGTGTGTTTTGCTCTGTGCAGGACTGACCGATGGCTCAGGTCATACTCCAGACCAGCTTTACTGATGGCTGTCCATCGTTTGCACACTAGCACGCTGTGGGAGTATCAGAACGTGTTGGCTTCTGAGTGCAGCGAACGTTACCCATATACGCAGTGTGCTGCTGTCACCAGCCATTCCTCGCTGATGAGGGAAGCTCCACAAGTGGGTCTGGAATAAAAATGGAGTGATACTATCCAAGGCCAAGCCCCTCTTCTGGCATCATTTCCACCTGCAATCCTTGTTCCATTGTTCTCGGTTACTGGGTGTTTTCCACATGCTGAAACAAACAAAAAACCAAACATTTTTTGATTTTCAGGTTTTTTTTTTTAATTAGGCTAGGTAGTATTCTTGGAAAAATAGGCTTTTTATTATCTGAACTGCTATTCAAAAATATGATTGCTGTGGAAAAAAGTTTGGTGTTTTATAGCTGAAATCGAGATTCAACTCGGAGCTTGGATTTAGATATGTTTTTCTTCAGACCTTCTGGATTTTTTATGTGTGTATTTTCAGTAAAGACCAATCTCTAGCGTACACTGAACTCTGAAAACAAGTGAAGGCTGTAGATTTTCCTTTTTTTTTATATCATTATGAGTATAGCTTTTGTAGTTCGTTCCTTAACCTTTCAGTTCAAACTGTAAACACTAGGCTTTATGGACTGAACAATTGGATTTTGGTGGGAAATATTCCTAGGGTACTTACGCTAGAGTACTTACGTTTAATACTACATTGCAGATAAACCACCAGGTTGTTCAAACAGTGTTCTCTAGAATGAAAGTGCAATTAAATCACAAGCATCTGCAAACCAGGTAACACTAAAAGGCTGTCAAATATACATACATACTTACATATATATATAGATATATAAATGTATATGAGCATATATATACTTATATAAAAATTACATTAGCTTATCAGTATCAAACTATTAAATATAATGCTTTATCCTGCATCTTTTACTTATGTTTTAAATATACAACATTATATTACTTGTAGTACTAAATGTACATATTCCTCTTCAACAGATTCTTGGTGTATGTTACAAAAACAAAAGTAGATTCCCCTTGTGTTTTAGGGAAATGAGTCATTTGTCTGTGACAAATAGGCAATAAAACTGTAACTGCATATGGTATTTTTTCTACCTTTTGAGATGTTTTCAATACCTTACCACTAGAGATCAGTGTGACCAAAGAATTTAAGAGGTTTGATGTTACTGTATCTTTTTACTAATACTATAATGCAGTGTAAAATATACAGCTGCATATACAAGGTCAGAAATTATTTAGCAGAGATATGAAGCCAGAGTCTGAAGAGCACAAGACCACAGATCAAAACTCCTCAAGCATTTCTGGGGCCCAGAGGTTTTAAGATTATCTTCATAGTTTGTAATGAATCTGAACACTTGGGACACTGTGTATACTACCAATTTAAATCTGATACAAACAGAAATATATCTGAGAGAAAAAAAAATGTTCTGCCATCATCTAGTTTACAGTAATTCCCACATCACTCTTAAATAGAAAAAGGGATGGATACTTAAAATGTCATATGATATTATATATCCCTCACTATGTTTGTGCTAAAATTTGATATCTGTTGTGAGGGAAATATGCATGATAGGACCTCACATTTTCACAGTGCCATAGTGGTGTAAGACAGGCAAGTGGGAACTGTAACCCTGCCCCACTTCCGCAATTAAATCTTCTCTGCAGGGGGAGTAAGAATAAGATATGCCTCCAACTTCGAACAGTCTCACATAGCCACAGGTGCATAATGGTAAAGCTGTAATTCAAAAAGGGGAAAACAGATTCTGTAATTTGTATTCAAATCTGTATTGACTTCAGAAGGGCGTCCCTTGGTAATGAGAATAACAGCAAAGAGGACAACCAGAAATGCATAAACCAATACCATTTTCTGCATACACTTAATATCACTCTTGCCCAAGCTCCCTCTGTAGGTTTTAAAAGGGTGGTCAGTGGTACTGTATATTAGGTCCTTTGTCTGATCTCTTCTTCTTTTTCTGATCCTATGCTTTTCTCTTAGGCAGGTTCATAAACTAGCCAAACTAACATCCAACATGTCAGATTTGTCCCTATATTTTTTTTTTTTACACTGAAGCAGGGAGTTGCATATAAAAAGGGTCTTTGTCCCACCACCAGTACCTACTGATTGCTTTAGTACAAATTAAGTCATGGGCCTCTGCTTTTGCTTCTTTCTAAAGCCAGCTCCCAGTATGGAAACCACTTCCTTGCCTGCCCTTCAGTTCGTCAGTCTTCAGCTGCCTCTTTTCTAAAGGAGAGTCCAAAAGGCAACAGAGGCATGGCATGTGCTGAGTCCTCATCCTTTGTGCCTCTCTGAATCATCTGTGGAAGCAGCATGCCAGGCAGAAATTTGGAGTAGTTGGGACATCTGTGAGTGTGATCTTAGGACTGGCAAAAGCAATTCTGCTTGTGGAATCTGCTCACATTTATCTTCAAGGCAGGATTTTGCCCTGTTACAGAGCTATCCTGCCAAGAAATATATTACTAAGGGCATCAGAGAACAGTTTTGCTATCTCTGCCACCACAGCTTTCAGTTGCCTTTATATGTACCCTCCTTTTCTCCAACTGTAGTTATACTTGATTGAAGACCAAAGACAATGTGAGAAATACATTTTATAATTTGATTGCCAGTTAATGAATTTGAGTGTTTTAATTATCAAATCTGTGTGTTTTTTTTCTGTCATTCATTACATACACAAAAAAAGTGCAAATTTGTAATAGTATTATCCTGTAAAGTGATTCCTGTGGGCTGTCCATGTGAAACACGGTAGAAGAAGCCTAGTTCTGCAACAGAAATACAACCAAGATGAGTGGACTTATTCCATTTCTTCCTGCATTAATCACTTTTTTAGTGTTTAACAGATATTAACAAAAGACATCTTTAAATCATTACTCCTGTTAAAGATCTCTAATGGCAATGCTGGTTTAGACATCCACTCAAGAAAAAAAGAAAAATAGCTTGCAATGCTACTCCATTAGTTTAAGATACTTTCACCACCAGTGAGAGAGATAAATGTTTGGGATTAACAGAGTATAATTGTATATATATATATATACACATGTGTGTGTATGTATATAATAAAATATAGCATAGCAAATTAAGAATTCTCTCCTGCTTCGCTACTATGTGGTATGTTTATAAAGGAAACCTGAACGAACATGGACTCTTGCTATCCTCAATACGGTTTCAGCTTTTTAGCAATTAGACAGTAATTTTCTGCCTCATTGCTTTTGGTAGGATTCCAGAAAAATGTGCATAATAAACCCTCTTTTAAGCAGAAAGACAGTAACTGAAGTCATTATATGCTTTTTTTATTTGAAGATGGCAAGCCTTTCTCCTTTTGGAGGTGTGCTGTAGGTCCCAGAATTTCCTGAGAATATAATCCTGTGCTAATGTTACATTTTCACTTAATCTGCAAGAAACTCTGCCAGTTTGTAGAATTGTTTCAGAATCACTTCAGCTGTTATTGGGACTGAGAAAGGTTAGATTATAATTGAGTGTATTCAGAGGATCATCTCATCTAATGATTCACTTCTAAATATGGAGACAAATCCAGAAGTCATTTTGGAGTGGGACTAATTTGTCTAAATATAGGTACTTGTCTGTAGACTCTTAATTTAGCATCCACACTTAGTCTTAAATCTGTATCAATGAAATCAATGGATTATAGAGTGTGACATATTTCAAGAGATGCCTTGATGGATTGCAATTTAGAATACTCATATTATCTTTGATTAAAGAGAGAACCTGGTGTGATTACTATATAACTGTGGGTGAATGCCACTGCACTTTAATTCTCCTACTCTGTTATATATTCATAATTTAGAGATTTCTAGATAAGAAAAGCTTTGTAAAAATAGCATTATTTATTGTTTCCACAGTAAATGTATAAAGACTTAAGACTGTACTGAATGCTAGCTAAGAATGTAGCAATCATCTTTCTACTTTTACGTTTACATTAGATGGACAGGAATGGAAGGGGGAAGAGTGAGTTGCCCGATGTTACACAGAATTCAGCAGCAGACAGAGGATAACACCTAGATGTGTCTATAGTCCAGACCTCATACAGAATCATGTTACCTCTCAGATAAACTTGAGCTAGAGATTAATATATAAATGATCACCACCATATTTGAAGTCATCCTTTGCATGAGGAAGACTCGCTCCGCTCACCTTTTTGTAAATACTAGGCTGTGGTTAGCTACTTTGGTGATTTTGGCAAATGGTCCAGCTCCAGTGAATAATACAGTTGTTGACATATTTGCATCCCTGGAAGGAAAAAACAAGCATATTTTTAGATATTTATAATGTTCCACCAGTGGAAGAATTGCTGGGAACTGATTATGCTGGTGGAATTAACTGCATCATTTGTTTTTCCCTGAAATAAGGACTATCTATTGAGACCTTTTAGAGGCTTGAAACTCACATAGATTAAAATGCAACTCACTTACTTTCACTCTTACTTCTTATTCTAAGATTTCTAATGCTACAATAATATTGAAAGAGACAGAAATTGATTTTTGTAATAGCAGTAAATTATGAATTTCTGCTTTTCTATATCATAATGAAGCATTTGTAGTACCAATTCTTAAATATATGGAGCTAAAGCTTAGTTTGCAAAATGTAACAGTAATAACTGAACCATCACAGTTTTGCTTTTTTTGAACAGAGGTAGTTACACTAATACTATACTTCTGTACCTAGAGAAGAAATTATGCTGTATTTTATTAAGAATCTAATGGAATAAATGCTACCTTCCTTAGAAGTTGTTTCACCTCATAGATCTGTTGAAATCAAAATAAATATTTGTGGAATAAGTCGAGAGTGTCATGGTTGCTATTGAACAGGATAGTTACTCTGAAATGGGGTGTATTTCCTGACTAACTTTTTTTGTAACAATGGCTTTTTAAACACCAAGAATTCTGTGTACTATTGGTGAGGTAAATTATTTGGATATTTACACCCCATATTCAGATTTATGATATAACCCTTTCTGCATCATGTACTTTTTTGATAACTGCATATCCCAAGAAACGTATTTGCTCTCTCTTCAGGAAGCGTGGGGCAAAAAGCTGTGGTCAGACGACATAATTTTTTTGGGGGGGTGACAGCCTACTCCCATCTGAGTCTTTAGCCCTACGTATCTCAGGAGCAAGAAGAGAACCATTTGTACAGGTTTCATGCACAGGGAGAACCATCTCTTCTCTTCAAGTGCAGTGAACCTCGTTCTTCTGGGAAGTATGAAGTCTAGAGTCTGCCTGCAAATCTGCTGTGGATGGAGAGTAGGACTAGGCATAGGGGAAGGAAGGTATTCCATAACCCAGCTGTGTCACTAGGAGAGCTGCATGATCCACCCTTCTGAGCTTTTCTCAGTGATTAGATAGATAGACAGATAGTTTCTAGCCTATTGTATAAACTTTTTTAAAATGTGAAATACTAGTATACTAATAGGTACTTCAAAGATTACCCCAGAACCCTGTCTTGACCTTTCAGTCTGAGAGAGTAGTAACGTGGCAATCCAGATAGGTAGAGAGCCTGGAGTATGTACATTTATGAATATTACTGGCTTACATTTTTCATGGCACATTATACCAGGAAACTTCAACTGAGTTCATGTGTTTTACTAGATTACTGTAACAGACTCTGTAATAGGCCAAACACTATAAACCTTCCAAGTCAAAGCTTCCACCAACCTCATAACATTTGTGAAGATCTCTCATCTCACCTCAGCATATTTCTTATTTTGCTCAGTCTTTGCTGAAAAAGACCATTTTCTACTCCTTTTTTTTGTTTGTTTTGTTTTAAAAGTTGAAATTTCTGTATCACGGATTGGAACTTCTGTGTAGCCTTTCTAGATTTGAAATGAAGATTCTTAAGCAATGACTTTAAGGCAAACTTACTAGAAGTGTCTGGTCCTGAGTGAAGCTGTGGGTGTACAAATCCAGTAAAATCATTGACACTCCTTCTGTGACTTTAAAGTTAAAGTGCAGGTTATTACTTGGTGACAATAGATATGAAATTAAGTCTCTAAATTAATTAAATCACCAAATTATTAGGACTGTCCTAATTTTGATCCTTAATGCTGTAAACACAGCCTAAACACGTTGAGAGCTAGTGTTCTATGTTCTTGACATCAAAGACAGGTTTTTCTGAGGTGTCTCGAGGAGCTAGGCATGTAGCTATTACTGACCATTCATAAGTGGGTAAGATGAAAATCCAGTGGACCTGGAAATCTCAAACAAGACCTAATATTACAATGAACTCATTTCCTTCTCAAGCATTTTGCAAGTTCATGAAGGAAATAGACTGTAGAGTTGAGAGCAAGGCCTAAACTCTCAGTCCTTGTTGGACTTTTGAGTATGACAAATTACCAAGTCTATCCCTGTTCCTGGATACAAATCAGTAAAGACCCAGCTGGCAATGGTCCCAGAAAAACAAGCATGCTTCACACCAGACCAGCAGAAAGGTGCAAAGCTCAATGTATGATTTTGTTGCTTCAAGGAAAAGTAATGCGAACAATACTCAGATTTTAAGTGTTGTCAGATGCACACAGTTATACATGCAAGTTGAACGAAAGAACTTGTTCAGGTTTCTCAAGAGCATCAGTTTGTGCACTCCAGACTTATTAAGGATCATAAAATCATAGAATGGCCTAAGCTTGAAGGGACCTTAGAGGTCATTTTAATCCAGCCTCCCTGCCGCCAGGGACGCCACCTTTTGACTAGATCAGGCAACACATGGGGACCGAACGGGAATCGAACCCGTGACCTTAGCGTTGTTATTTCTAAATGACTTGCCTAAGCTATATTTTGGAGGTGAACATGTAGGAATGCCTTCAGATTTTTTGCCTGTTTGGCAAATACCACAAATGCAACAGTCACATATTTGAAAAATAGAGGCCAAAGGGTTCATATGTGTGATTTATTAGAATCTGTGTGGAACATTGCACTTTCTAGCCCAACTACATTAATAATCAGGATATGCTACACGACTCCTATCGTTTCAGTCCTTTTATTAAGTTAGACAGTAAATGAGACTAGCAATGTATAAGTGATTAACAGCAAAAGCAAATTGTAGATGAACCTTGCCCTCCTTCTCTAACAAAGTGTGTTTCTAGATATATATTCTGTAAAGGAGCAAGAGCTATAGCCTACTCAAGAACTATTTTTACAGATATCCATTTAATAACAAATATGGTGCCACTTATTAACAAATACACTACTACGGAGGGATTTGTGGAAGGCAGAAATAGCATGATGCTTACAGCAGTTTTATATATGTACACTGTACTCGGCACTGGTGAGACTGCAGCTTGAGTACTGTGGGCACAGTGGGACAAGAAGGACATTGAGGTGCTGGAGTGTGTCCATAGAAGGGCAATGAAGCTGGTGAGGGGTCTGGAGAATACGACTTACAAAGAGTGGCTGAGAGAACGGGGATTGTTTAATCTGGATGAAAGGAGGCTAAGGGGAGACCTTCTTGCCCTCTAGAACCACCTGAAAAGAGGTTGTAGAGAGATGGGTATTGGTGTCTTCTCTCAAGTAACTAGCAGTAGAATGAGAGGAAGTGGGCTTAAGTTGCACCAGGGGAAGTTTAGATTGGATATTAGGAAAAATTTCTTTGCCTCAAGAGTGGTGAAGCATTGGAACAGGCTGCCCAGGAAAGTAGTAAAGTCACCATCCCTTGAGGTGTTTAAAAACCATGTAAAACTGGCCCTTTGGGACATAGTTTAGTGGTCATGGTGGTGTTGGGTTGACAGTTGGACTTGATGATCTTAAAGGTCTTTTCCAACCTTAATGATTCCACGATTATATATATATGACAATTTTATTCTAATACATAGGATCAGTAACAGCAGTAGCACCCAAGGTACAAGAATGTGATGTAATTTAGGTTTAAAAATATTTTTTCATGACAATTGGAATATGTAATAAATGGAGAAATGGAATTAAAAAGAACTAGGAAACTTGATAGGATTTTTTTTTTTTTTCAAAAGTGTAAGCAATTTTTAAAAGGTAATAGAAAGTACCAAAGAAGACAAAATTCACTGATGCCTATCAAATACAAAAATATATTAAATTAATTAAACCAACAGACCACAGAATGACTAGCATCCAGAAGTTATAGAGGGGAAGGAGGCAGGAGAAGGGGAGAAAGAATTGAAGGAAGAAAGCTACTGGCCACTGTAAAGGACAAGGTATTTGACTACTTATTCATAGCTTATATGTTTGTATCTGCACACATAAATGAGATTACATACAGAAATTACAACCAGATTTGGTGCATGTAGGTTTCTGATATTTACATACGTAAAGTACTCACTCAAAGTAAAAAAAAAATACAACAAAGCAGCACACATTCATCCAATGATTGAAAATATTTTCAAATAACACTTGGGTATTTTTCTAAGTCCTCCTAGCTCTATGATTTCTACAATTAATTTATCAGAAGGGAATTTGCAGACATTCTACTTCAATCAGAGACCAACATAATGAATTGCAAGCTTAGAATTTAATTTGATTGTAACTTGGATGAGTGACATTCTCTAGAAACCTCAGCACTGTAGGAAAACTATTTGGAGTGAAGTTGTATACAGTGTAAGAAAGGCCAGAATTTAGGCTGTAAATTTTACCACAGATTGAAAAATACAACACTTTTGCACTAAACCCTCCAGACCTTTTCTCTGGAAGTTCTGCTGAACAGTCACTGAAGGCAAATCTACTTTTTTCAGTCACATACTTCTCTCCTCCCTTACTCCCCTACATATACCTCAGAAGAAATATAGTTCCCTCTCCCAATAGCTCAGGCCTGATGATAGGTATAAAATGTATTGGGAGCCCAACAGAAGAATACACATGCAAATCTTGAATTTACTTGAAATGAACATTAGTATGATAGCAGAACAGCCAAAGCTGCCATTTGCTCCAGCTTTACTCTTGAGCCATCCTCATAAAAGTGAAGACGTGAATGATGACAAAGTGGTGAAAGCTTAATACCTCCACATCAGTCTCCTAACGTTCTCCATTACATATTCTCATGCCTAATCTGCCGTATTCAGAGTCATCAGTCCTCTAATGAATGCCATTAAACAGGATATGCAACACAAATTTGTTGGCACACCAAGCACTTCACTTGACACAGAAAAATACATTTGCCATTTTTTTGGATGGTAAAGACGCCAGTAACATGATGAGGAAAACATCAATGTACAAAGTCAACAAACCTGCTAAGAACTTACAATGATAATGAATATTCTTCACTCACCCTAAGCCCACCAGCTGGCAAAAACTGTCTGAGACCTGTTCATTCCAATCATCTGCACAAGCCAGGTGCCATGTCTTCCCAATCCTGGCCTGTACTAGCCCTTCGGTGCTTAGAGAACCATTAACCAATCTCACTGTAAACCAAAATCGACAGAAGCATTTTAGATAGGTGGTAAACCTGGTCCCCTTCCCCCCACCACTGCCCCAAGCAAGCGTAAATGTAATATAAACAGATTTATTATTGCCAGGAAAGAACAAAAATAAGTTTAAATACGTTACAGCGATAATAAACACAGCAACTGTAGAATGTTGTGTTCCCACAGGAAGGAAATGTTATTGCTGTCTCCTTATATATTTCTACCCCAGGAGAGTTTCATACACTGTGTTTTGCAAATGTCTCACAAACAGACAATGAACAGTACATTTCCCATCAACTCTAACCAATGGGTTTTTTTAGCCAGCATTACGTAATTTCCAGATACTGTGTGAAGCTTAAGTTACACGATGTTCAATAACACTGATTGGAAATAAAGTTAAAACCAGAGCTGACAGAAAAATTGAGTTTTCCAGTTGCTATGAGAATTTTAACTGTTTTCATTGCAGCTTTAATTAAGACATACATACACAAATAATAAAAGTTCCCTGAAAACCAATCTATCAAAATTTTTTCTAAACCAAAATCTTCAAAAATACTCCAGAGTGTAAAATTTTATGCTATTGGCATAGTGACTATGGAGGTTGGAACGTAAGGTTTAAGAAGATCAGCAGAATCCCATAAATGTCCCAGGGGCTATAGCTGAATTTCAGGCAGTTGGCAGTTCTTGCCAGTGTGAAGTAGGAAAAAATATACAACGGACTTGAAATTTACTGGCTGACAAAATATTCTTTCCACAAAAAAGGTAAAGTATACCCACTCTAATAAAAAAGAAAAAAAGTCTTTCTGATACCCAGAGTGCATGAATGAAAGAAGTGATATACAGTGATTATTAATGGTAAGCTTCAGTCATGAAAAATTATGGAATAGTCTTGTAAATCTTAGAATTTTTTGCACTGCAAAATTTCTCCAAATTACTTTTTGACACTTTTCCTCTCTTCTATTTGAACTATAATTCAATTTCCTCTCACCTCATCCAAATATCTTGTTGGTAAGGAACAAGAGAGTCACAAAGCACTCAACAACTCCTTAATTAAAATGTAATACGTATTTTAGAACTCTGCAAAGGAAGAGGTATCCTATATCTTCGCTTTGTAGACCCTGGGAAGTTTCAGAAGTTGAAGTATTTGAAAATTACAGTTTTTCTAATTCACATTGCCAGTTCTGATAAGAAATTGAAATCAGTTTCAAGAAAATGAGCAAGACATTTGGACATTGAAAAGACTCAATATAAGGATGTCCAGTTGAATATTCTTTTTATTTTAAGTCTTAGATTGATTCAGCCAATGTCTGGATTAAATGATGTTTTGGAAGCAATTCTCCCAGTCCTTTAATGTGATGTAATTTTTAATGAATTAATAGAAAATCTATGGCAGAATAAATCTTTGGGAAAATGTACATCATGTTAATATAGATGATGGTTACCTTCTTCAGATCTTCTTTAGCAATGACTAGAAAAATCCATTCAAGTCTTCTTTGCTTCTGAAGAAACTGAAGTGAATTTTATTCTATGCATTTTAAATATTTGTGGCAAAATAGCTAATTCCACTTCTGCAAAGAGCGAATCCCATTTATTTATATATGACATATGTATGAATATATATATATGCATATAAAAGATGTCAAAATCAATGAGAGCTGTCAGCACACATGCAAGGACAGATTTGATCCCTAGCAGTCCTCTTCAAAGCAAAGGAATCTTAAAAGCCCTCTTCTAACTCTTCCAGAAGTACTCTATAATAGATTGTCAGAACAGCACTTTGTCAGCAACAGCAATCCAATTTTTGTGCTATGCACAACATGATTTTAACATCAGTTTTACATTTAAGTTATTGCTCAGAGAACGCTGTTTCCATGTAACATCGAATGAAGCCATGCACCATATATCTACGTTTTGGAAAGAACCATTTCACCAGAGGACAAAGCAACAGCAGCTGTTGGTTTCTTTGTTGTAGGAACATGGGCATCCACTACGAGCAATGAGTGCTGCTTTTGCAGCTGAGACATCTCCCTCACCCTATGGCAATGCCTCCAGGAGATGGAGTCCAGGCAGTCTTGGGGGTGCCACGTCCTGCAGTTCAGCTTCGCACCCCCAAGACTATCCAAAGATTTTCATCTAGAAGTTTCTTATTCTCTACCCTACACTGCAGAATATATACTTCTGTGAAACTCAGATTAATGACAGCAAAAAAAATGATAGAATTTGGGAATATGAAATGGGTACAGAAGGAAAGCATATAATGAGTTTTCATTTAGTTTTGAGACCATTACAAGCAGCCACAGTTTAAAGCACAGAAAAGTCCCTATATTTTCCTGAAATCTTCAGCAGCATACATACACTGTCTCAGAAAGGTGACTTTGTTTGTTTGGCCCTGACAAACTCAATAAGATATTGCTGTGTAAATAGGCATGGCCTGCATACAGCTGCGATGGTTTATGTTAGCTGAGGTTCTGTGGCTGTTTTCCTGTGTAATTCCTACCAAATATGCATGCTCTTAGTATAAAGGAAACCTTACTGCACTTTGCTTCGTCAGAGCCATCTTCACACTGAAGTAGGTTGTCACAAAGGTTATCCAATGGTATGCAGTCCCCACTACCACACTGATGCTCATCAACTGAACAAGCTCCTGAAGGAAAACAGGAAAGGAAAATTCATCTGTAATTACAAGGAAGGCTGATGTTCACTGGAGATCACACAGGTCACGGAATAGAAAAATTGAATTGAGAATATGCAGAACCTTTGATTTCCTTTTCTTTCTTTTACTATCCACCTCTTTTCCAAAATAAATTTTGTTTTCAGATAAACAGAAGCTCGTGAGAATAAAATCTATGGTATTATCACAGAATTACAGAATGTTAGGGTTGAAAGGGACCTCAAAAGATCATGTAGTCCAACCCTCCCTCCCTTGTAGTTTCTGCTGTAGTTAGCATTACTCAGTTACTAGTGTTTTTCTATTACGTGCAATGAACTTTGGAGGGAAAAGTCAAACTCCAAACAAATCCTGTCAAAATTAACTACTGATTTCAAGTTTCAAATGTTCAGCACTTTCACAAAATTTTAGAGAACATAGAGCATGTCAAGTCAAACATATGAGTAAGGAGCCACTGAAAGCAAAGAATGTAATTTCAGAACCTCTATGGAAGGAAGGTAGAAAAGACAAAAATAACAGAAATGAAAAATCATTCACAAGAAGCATAAGGGAACATTCACGAAAGTAGGATCAAACAACTACAATTATCAGTTATATAACAAAAGTAGATCAGATAGAAGGTAAATATAAGTTTTGAACTTTTTCCATGGCCAAACTGTATTTTTAATGACACCATTCTATATATTTGCAGGAAACTGACAGTCAGAAACTCAAATTCTACTGAAAAATTGTTTCTTTTCTTTATTTTACCTTCCTGGACTTACTGACTGAAAAATTTAATTATCTAGAAACCTTATTTAAGGCAAGATAATTGCTTTGCTCTTGAATTTATAATATTCATATAAAATGATTCATTCAGTAGTCAGTATGGCCTGTTGTACAATATGGAAGCAAAAGAATATGGTTTATAAAAGGTCTGAACCAGATTTTCACACATTCAGTGATCATAACTAATGTCAGATTTCCCACAAAACTTAGTTTTCACTCAGCCAAGTTTTTTATTATATTGCATACTGCCAAAAATTATTTCTTTTCAAATTATGCTTCCTTTTCCAAACCTCAATATTTCATGGAAAAAATAAAATAAAAAGAAAAATCCACGTTTCTTGTAAAATTAATTTCTTTACTGACAATCCTTTTATCCTTGGGCCTGCATGCTAATGATATTAGTCACTGTCCTTTGGCTGAAAGATCATGAATAAGCATAATTCTTTTGCAAATGGAGCATTTTCAATATATTTAACTAGAACTGGCAATGGTCACTTTGAGAACTCTTCCTTGCTAAGCTTAATTTTTATTTTACAACAAAATATGATCAAAACTGTCTCAGTAAAGGTACTGAACCAGTTTAAAAAAAAAGGTATAATTTTGTCAGATTGAACAATGTAACAAGGAAGGCAGAACAGGAAGCAGCAAAGTGGTCTTATGTCCATATAAACCTACCTCTCAGTCTTGCACAGTGGGACTAAATGGACTTGATTTTACAAAGGTAAATCAGTGGCTAAGATTTTTTTTTAAAGATTAAGAAAAATAGTATTACTGTTATTTGATAAAAAGCCTGCAGCTCACTAAACATGCTGGGAGACAATTGTCTTTTATGATATTTAAAGTAAGAAAGAGGGTAGATTCTTGTTAACTTTCTGTTCATGCAAATGAATGGTACTTTGCACATCTCTGAGTATCTATTGCTTTCTCTTTTTTTTTTTTTTTCTGCTGTCAGACTTCCACAGAAGTAATATAAAGCCTCTAATTAATTCTGTCAAGATTTAGCCTAGAGGTAGTCTAAGTATTTGTCCTGGTAAACATATTGCTGTTCCATGTACTTTAGAATTTGGCTCCATTTCGCATGTTTTTGGAGGACTGACTGCTGAATTACTCATTTGAGTGACAAATCCAACTGCAGTCCCCAGCAAAACTCGGAGACTTTCTGGAAGTGGGATGGCTGGGAGCAGAATCACTGCTGTCCAAATATTTAAAATACTAGCTTTTCACAGATTCTTCACATGCTAAGGACCGAATTTTTAAAGATGGACTGTATTGCAAACATTAATCAGAATTTCATACATGTTTTTCTCTTCTAGTGAATATGATTGATAATAAATATTTTACAAATGCATTTAAACACACATTAATGACACTCTTGAATGAATCACCAACTAATATTCTTTTCTGGGGTTTATATAGGGAATGGCTTTTACTTGCCCTCTTAACATTTGAATGAGTTTTGGTCAACATATTGAGACAATTACTCACACAGTATCACACAGAGTTGCAGGTGATATAGACATTAGTCCAATTACACTATAGCAACCAAAACGTCACTTTTCATACAAGAAAACATAAAGCACAGATGGGTAACCTCTAGGCTTTTTCTCTTTAACTTTTTCATATTAAATCACCTTTCCACTTCACACCTTTTCCCAAATGTATTTGACCAGTGCTATAACTTCTTAAATGTACAAGTTCGTGTGCTTACCTAGATGGTACCCAGTAGTAAAGTTTGCAAGAAATCCCTTCTTTGTTTCACTTTTGTCTGTAAAGAGGGTTACTGTCATCTGGTTTGTTGTAGAGAAGACATCTGGCAATGGGTCTTGTCCTGTATAGACAGCTATTTTCCAGGAGAACATGAATACATTTAAGCTATGTTGTTCTTATATATTTTAAAACTTGTTGCTTTCAAAAGCAAATACTGCTACCACATGAGTACAGTTATTCTCCCAAACTTAACTGCTATCAGACTCCAATGATTGAAGCTAACCCCAGAGTTAACCTATCAGTATAGAAAAATAAGTTCCAGATAAGATATTGTGTTTCTGTTTGCCCACATACATGAGCAGTCTTATTTATTGAGAAGTTAATTTTGCTTGTATTGAATAGAAAGCTGAGTGTGTGCAAACCTTTGAGAAATGTTATGTCACATACAGTATGCTTTCTCAATTTTTCCTCCTGAGACCCAAAAATTTTAAAAAGTAGAATTAAATTAGAGAGAATTAATTTTCTTTATATTATATCCATCAGCTTTCTCCATCTGTCTGTTTACATTCATTTGAGTACCCAATGCTATTACTTGCCCAAAAGTAAGGAATTTGGTCCTCTGCCATCTCTGACTTCGACTACATCATAATTATTTTGCAGATCAAAAATCTGAAAATGAAGTTGGATGGTTTTTCCCTTTTCAGCATTTAAGTACCATACACCTGGAAAACAACGCACACACAAAAATAACCTTTGCAGTTGTTACATTTACTGTGTTAGTTTCACAGGATTTGGAGGGAAAAAGAAATCTCTGCTAAAATATTAAGAATCATCCAAGAGACTCAGAAGTCTCAATCTTATCTTTAAAAGCAACTTTTGCTGACAAGATCCAAAATTCAATTGACTCTTATTCTCTAAAACATTTCTGAAAACTGGATTTAGACTACTAAGGCATACACATACATAATTTTTTTACTATTCTTGACAACTGTGATTTTTCCTAAAGTAGCAAAACTAATTCTTTTGCAACTGTGAAAAAATGTCAAACAGTCCTGTCAGTTAAGTCTTATTTGATACTAAGATAATTTCTATAAGCAGTCACAGAAATCTGTCATTCGTTTCAAGGAAGTATTTGCTTTTGTTTAGCTTATGCTTCATTATATTTAATCTATGTAAATTATGGATCCTATGGAAATCTTGTAAAGAAAGTTAAAAAACCTAAACCCAACTGTTTTTTAAACTGTTCATAAAAGGAAATGTATTTTCTCACTAGTAGGAATCTCATGTGGGAACTTGTGAAATTAATGCCTGTAAATGAAAGCCATATCTCAAGTGAAACAGAAACACAAAATTACAACTCTTGTGATTAGCATCCCAACACAAATCTCCAGTTAAAGGTGAAGCAATAAATAATTAAAATTTCATTAAGTAACAGTTGCAAAGTTCTTATTTTTTCATCCATCACATATCACACATAGTGGAACACCTTGAAACATTTTCATTTTTGCCAGCTGTAGCTTAATCTAAATCAATTAACATCATTAGAACAATAATGTCTTCTCACTATGTTAAGAAACATTCGTCAAAGATCCCTTGCAAAATGCATACATACCTTCTTTGCACCTAGAAAAGGTTAACTATTTAACAGAAAAGACGATCATATTAACCTGAAAAATACACCGAGGTGTAATGGTTAAAGGGGAACTTTCAGCCCGTCTGTTGTTGCATTAATATATTTGATTTAATAGGCATGATGGAATTGTTTTTTTCTGAACCCAATTCCAAGGAATTATGCTTGTCTTCATCCCTTTTTAAGCAACTGGCATACGATTCCTTAGCTTCTGCTAAGTGCCATACAGACTTCAGTTAAAAGATCCCACTGTATATAGCTTATATCTTTTTTGCTTGATAACATCTGACTTGGGAAAACATATTTAGTAACTGTACTTTTATATGGCTAAACCTTTCCTGAAGACTTGAAAAAGAATGACTTACAAGAAGCTAGATTAGGGTAATTGTTTGGATAATTTTCAGAGCTGAATGTAGTGTTTGGTTCCCAAAGTTCAACTGGCCCTCCACAGTCAGCTGAAAAAGAAAACATTTCAAAACACGTCATTAACCTATTGTATTACTTTTGCAATTCATTGTAGCAAAGATAATTTGGGAAAAGTAATTTTTTGAAGAGGATATTCAAGCTAACTAACTTCATCACTGTAAGAGTTCAGTTATGATGCCATTAGTATAAAACTTCAACAACAAGCTGTGAGAAACCAACATTCCAGTAAGGACAAAGAGCACTGAGGAAACGAGGTAAGAAATTCACTGTCCTTATTAGTTATAGTGTCTAAGTCAGACCTGCTGAGACATACAATCAATGCCATAGTGTTATCTACAGCTCTAGTTCCTATACTGCAGTTTGAGAAGCACTAGTGCCCAGGTGCACAACTGTATTCGTGATAGTGCAATGAGAACTCTCCCCCAGTTGGTTAGGAGAATGACACAGCCTATCCCTCATTTGGTGATTACTGGTCTGCAAGCTGTGCACATGACAAGAGATACAAAAAAAGAGAATGTGATACAGTCAACTGTATAATTTACTAGTATATTTATTAAAAAAATCCAGAAAATGTCAAAGAAAGACAGGAAAGATCTCCTCCCTTGAGTATAATCTATTTAAGCACATAGCTTGTATGCTTGGCTTATTATCTCGTTAATCTTCTTCCAGCATGAGCAGATATCCTGAAGTATAAAGCTCATTTTGTCATCTAGCAGATAAAATTTATAACAAAAAACCCCACCCTTATACTGTTACTCTGATTTCATCAGGACCATAAAAACTTTTACAGTTAAACCTTGTAAACAGTAAAGTAGCCACTTGGATTTTCCTTGAAACAACTGTTCAAGTAAGAAAGGTACTTATCATAAACATGTATATGCACTGATATATAAAAATGACTAAGATTTATTTAAAAGCACACTCACATACACAGACATAGCTAACTGTACTTTATATATTTAATATTCTTTCAGTTTGCAGTTTAGATTGTGGATTACATCTGAAACGTCAGCTTCGTATTTTAAAACTTCACTTGATGTGAATATTATTTATATTCATTTCAGCTGAACCATCCCAGTGAACTTTGATTGTTTCCCACTTCTGTTGTTCACAATTACTTTGAATTAAAATTTATTTTTTCTTAACTTTCAGACTTTGGCTAAGCTTTAACACCCCCTTCTCCCTCCCCTCCTCCTGCTTATGGCTCAAATTTCATGTTTCAGTATCTTCAGTATTGTAGACTCTGAGCCACTTGGTTGGGGACTGCAAAATCTACAAGTCCTACTGAGGTTGCCCATTGAATCCCACTGGGAGGAAGCTTCACTAAATGCAAGAAAGATTTGAACTTTCTCATGACAGCTATCGTGAGAGAATTTCACCAAATCACTCCTGGCAAGAAAAGCCGAACTCTCTGCTGTTAGCAGTCACACGCTGACTAACAAGTATATTATGTTTCAGACTTATGGCTCACAATGAGGACCACTTTCTGTAAGTATCATTAGCAGTAAATAAAGATTGGCTTCTTTAATGGAATGTAACTGCACGAACAGACAGACAACTATAGTAAAGCTGCATGAGGAATATATGATTCTTAGCCAGTATCATCTGATGACATGAACAGAGCAAAAACAACTTTCTTAATGGCAGAACAGGGGGCAACTTATGATAAAATCTGATCTGCTATTGACTACCTGTAAGACACATTAGTAATGATCTTCCTCTTGCATGGAAAAACAAGAGAAATAATTGATTTTACTCTTGTCTGGAAAAAATATTTAAAAAGTTTTCAGAGATCTTCAAACAAAAATTTATATGGAGTTATTCATATAGCTGTCACCAACTTGAGAACCAAATAGCAATCAGCACCAACAATCTCAGTCTTTTCATTGAGCATAACAGATGACTTTCTCAACACTGTAGAAAATTATATATGACCTATTCATAAAAAAATTTCCTCTCTGCTTTGGCAAAACTTTAATTTATATTGACATATATATCTTGAATGTGGAAAATACATTGTAATTTCCACACTGTTTTCTTATGTTAAAAGACAGATTATAAATCATTATGAAGATGAAAGCAATCTTTGTTTCAGATGAAAGTGTAAACTGACAGTTGTGTGCAAAAGACAAAAGCAAATCCAGCTTCTCTATCCCATCACCAAAATTTTTTTTGACTTTTCAATAAGCTTTTATGGCACTGTGAATGATGCCAGTGCCTCTTACTGAAGCTCTAAGTCTAGCAAAAGAAATTGGCTCAGCTCAAATTCTTTCATCTCGTGTTTATAGACACGACATTTGTAGTGAAACCATTAGTGTTAGTAAGCTTACACCACATTCATCAAAGTAATTTCATATTTCTTTGAAGATGATTGATAACATTCACTTTTTTTTTCAGCAGGTTACAGGGAGCGTATACTTAGCATGCCTCAAAAGTTATGCAAACAAGTTAGTTTTTCCCCAGTGACAGCTTAGACTGTGCTTTTGGATCATATTGAAGGACAGTACAGATCCTCTCTAAGCTGTTTCATGAAGAGTTATATGCCACATGACCACTTCCTTTTTTTGAGCATCAAAATATTATCACCATGTTTTGAGTACAGATCTATAGTTTGAATGATATTTCTTCAGTGTTTTGACAACCAGCTACTATTTACGTGGTCGTTCTATCACTCTTCACTAAACTGATGCTCAGTTGTGAGGTGTGTTTAGCCACAGCACCTTGAAGATGGCTGGAGGTGGCAGACATCGGGACCTCTACACAGTATTACTTTAAAGAAAACTGCAATCAAATACCAAAACTCACTTTGGTAAATTATGATTGAAATTACTAGTGTTATTAAAATTTAATTTTGCCAACAGAGACATCTTGTTGCACTTTACCCCGCTTTGTCTCAGGATCATAGAAGGGCCTAAGCTGGAAGGGACCTTAGAGATCATTTTAATCCAGCCTCCCTGCTGCCAGGGATGTCACCTGTTGACTAGATCAGGCAACACATGGGGACGGAACAAGAATTGAACCCACGACCTTGGCATTGTTAGCGCTATGCTCAACTGACTGAGCTAACCAGCCCCCTAAAGCTGTAAAACTGAATTTTGCTCTTATATTTAGTTTTTGTTTTCTTACATGTCCTGATGCAGTAGACTGAGAGGTGATAGCTTTGATAGAATGACAATATTAGTACACAGTGCTTCAACATGAATAAAATGCTGTCTTTTCCTACTATTTTCATTTTAGACCATTTTTATTTACTATATGCTGTCAAGAGAGCAACTAGCTATGGTCTGTAAGTGACAGTAAATCTAACGGGAAGAAGTGCTGGAACATACTGGGGTTTTTTTAATGATCTGAAGCCATCTGTGAATAGGTCTTCTGTAGAAATCTCTTTTTTTCCTTCAAAAAGTTCGAGGCTCTTTCACAACAAATTACAAAGATCTATCACATATTTTAATGATTTTTTTCCACAAGCTCTATTTGTATTTGTACATTTTTGCTTTGAATGTGCACAAGCCTGGTTAACATCACATGCAATTTTTCTTCATTTTTTTTTGTATACATTTTCCAGATTTATAATGAAGTCTACAGGTATTTTTTTCATATTTTTCTCCATGAGGTTCTTCTAACTAACTCTTCGGAATGTTTTGAGGAAGCTTAAATCTCTGTGCTTTCCTCTAGAAGACTCTGCAATATGATGGGTTTGGATCAGGCTGTACAACCTGTCTGGAGAAGTGCATATGCGCTACAGGTAGCTACATTTCATGTTTCATTACCTTCTACTTGATTTGGAGAAAATATCAGAAAAGTACAAATTTCACCAGTTTCCCACTGAACCTAGGATTCAGAGGAGGTGCAAAGTAGAGAGTGAGGTGAAATGAGACGAGGCCTCATCAAGCACAAAAAAAGCCCCAGCCATTACTACTGGAGTAAGCACTTATTCACTCTTGCCTTACCATGTGGAGTAGAGTTAACAAAGGCAAAACTGGAGAAATTGGACTTAGCTTTTGACACGCTCCATAATTTATGCAAATACTGAAATACCTCATTAGACCAGGGAGCGGAAAGAGTCCTTTAACTGGGTTTTTTTTTTGTCCGCTCATTTCCTCTGAAAACAGAAGACCTGCTAACTATTCTTTCTATTTCCTTATTTATTTTTTTTTTTAAAGAAAATACTGCTTTCTTTTTCCTTGTTAATGTAATCAGATATAGTAGAAACAACAACACAGCCAAATGCATGTTGGAAATAACTCATTCCTTGTGAACTTTCTTCCAGATAATACCTCCAATTTGCATATTAGACACTTACATAGACCTTGCTCCATTCCTCAAATGTTCCAGAACTTATAGATGCATTCCCCTAAATATAGTTTTTAGTCTGCATGTATTCTCAAAGCTTGATGAATTTTTACTACCAAGACCTCCAGTGGTACTATTCTGTGACTTTGCTCATCCTCTTAATCCTCTGTTACATTGCTTATGATTTCAAAGATAGAGGTTATAATCTTCCTTCTCTTTCTTCTTCCCTCCCTTCAGTGGCTTACTAGGAGCTTTATTAATTAGAGCTTTTAGAGACAAATTCTGAACTCTTTATTTATACTCCACTCTTCAAGTTTAGGCTAATACTGTACTGACAGCTTAAGCCGTGAATCTACTGGTTCTGTTGCTATCAGTGGACTCATAGATAAGGAACCTGTTCCCTGGTATGTTGTCCTGAAGATAATTTTTTAGTGCTAAAGAGAGATTTTTATAAAACTGAAGGCTGAAAATTTTGAATCACTCCAACACATATACAGTAATGGGAAATAACAATCAACTGTAATTTAATGTTTACTTACTGGGAACTAAAGGGGCAGTAGTAGCAGGTGGAATCGCAGTTGGTTCTACGTAAATATTGTCATCACACTTTCCCTTTGTCAGCCCAATGTCATCCAAGGCAATATCACTGGCACCACGGTTTTTAAAGGCATCAAAAATAACCTGAAATTCATGAAAAAAGAAATTAGAATTTTATGATTTAATGAAACATTTTTCAGTTTCCAGTGCTGAATCATTCTGTCTAATTTCTTATATGCCCTTATTTACACTGTAATCTACACTGGTGCTACTCACAGAGGAGGACATCAGGGATGGGACAGGATTCTTTGCAAAACAAAACACTGTGTAAACTGAATCTAAGAAATATAGGAACTTCTTAATATAAATGATGAACATGATTTAAAACTATTCAATAGTTTTACTTTTTATATATAAATACATGTAATTTTCAAACACAAATTCTGTATCGATCATCTTATCAGCCCACAGTTCTCCTGATTTAATGGCATAGCTCCATGAAAAATCTAAATTTATCTCATTTGTTTGTTACTGTGTTTTAATATCCCCGTATTTAAAGTAATCCTGCTACTAAGAAATTTGTGCTGGTGAAAGATAGCTAGGTATAGCACTCTTCCCAAGATAATAAACCACAGATTTGCTGGATATCTGATGCAGCCCGGTCAGAGACACATTTACTTCCTCAGATGGCAATTGAATCTTTCTAGCAGTGCTTTTGCATCAATCAAAACTGCTTTAGCAGGACAAGCCATCCCACATACCTATAAAAAGAATTTTTTTCAGTAGAGTTACTGAAGGAATTCTCTAGCATTAGTCTTCTTTTGCTTACAGATGAGACAGGTTGGTTGGTAACCATGTGGTGCCAAATACATTTCCATCTAGCACATACTTTCACTGAGTTATCCTGTAGTTAATTAGTGAAAATATTGCATCAGATTTTGAAGTCATTTGATTTACGTCTCCTCATGGCTAAATGCTTCACATCACACTCCCTGTCAGGAGCATGAAGTCCACATTAGGCTTTACTAGGCTTTGAACCCCCTTGATTTGTGGAAAGTTCTCTTTTGTGATAACATTGATTGTCTCATGACAATGCTAAGGTTTTCTGTTTTTCACAATAATAATACTTTAAAATCCAGAGTAGAGAAGGAGGGGATGACAATTGGAATTATCAACATAGTATCATAGAATGGCCTAGGCTGGAAGGGACCTTAGAGATCATTTAATCCAACCTCCCTGTCATGGGCAGGGATGCCACCTGTTGACTAGATCAGGCAACCACTCCAGTCTTTTACATAATAACTTTTATTTGATGGCATGCATTATTAACTAGTACTAGATATTATCTTTACATCTTTATTTGACAGAAAATTTTAATATCAGTTTAGCTAAAATAAATTTTAAAGAAGAACTAGCAGTTTAATAAACCTTAAAATCAGATGTTTCATTTAAAGTTACTTGTCCATAGTTCCAGTTGTCGCCATAGTTTCCTTCTTTCTCAAAAATGATCTTTTCCAAACCATGTTCATTACTTATGCTAACTCTTAAAAGGTAAACATCAGCACCATACATGAAATACCTAGAAGAGGAAAAGCAATTTTGATATTATTTAGAACAAAGTGGAATTTCATTAGAAATTATCAATCTTTTTATTTTATAAATGATTTTATGGAATTAGGACTAGTTTGCAGAGAACATGAAAGTAAAATGAACTGTATGTTCAGATTACATCTGGAAGTTTTACTACAAGACCTAGCAAAGCTTCATAACAACAAAAAAAATCTTAATATCATTTCTATAGAGAAATTAATATTGGATGCAGGGTGAAAAAGAAAATGCATGAAAGTTAATTGCAAGAATCAAACCTATAAAGAAGTCCAAGTTTCAGGACTAGAGTTGAGACTAATCACAGGAATCCAAACAGAAGCAGGCTTATACTGCTGGCACACTGACTTGGATTAATATTATATGTAAAAGAATGATACTTGGTTTTATTCTTAAACAAAGTGTGTATTTAGGAATTCTATAAGAATACCAAAAGCTTAAACAAGATGTATCTGAAGAAACCAAAGGCAAACTCAGAATCCGGACTCTCTCTTCTCCTAATCCAAGTCCTATGGGTGTTGAAATATAAAATCCTGTAAGATAATGATTTAGATATAAATATATAATTTAAATTATATATATTATAATCTATTATTTATACTTCTACATTAGCTAGATTTTTCATGTGTGAGCTTAAAGCATCTGAAAAAATCATCTGAAATCTGAAACAGGCCTTTAATTTGTAGTGTTGACTTAGAAAGCATGCATTAAAATATTTATGTTGTCTGTATGAAAGCAGGAATAGCAATTTTCAGAGAAGGTATTCATGCAGTCAAAGTGACAGTTATCTATCTTCATCAATTCTCTGAGCATTCAGAATTAAATGTTGAGTATGTATTAGGACCTTTGCTTTCCCAGAGCAGCAAAACATAAATATATTGTCTCACTGAATGTATGTAATAGCTAGATATTAATGATGCAGCTCAAATTTTACCTAAAATGTTGGGCATTGAAATTTGAGTATTCAATATAATAGCAACATTACATAGAGAAATATTACAATGTCAGCTTAGATCTAGGACAGTAGCTAAATTAACATTTTCAAGAGAGCTAGAAATAATTGTCAAGTGTTTTCTTCAAAAAAGTACATTCTTTTATCTGATTTGTATTCTAGGAGTCAAGTGGGAAGAGAAAAGAGTATTCTGAAGATTATTTAGAAAATATGCATTTATTCAGAGAGAAGTGAATGACTTCTATCCAATAATGTGCTGAATGATATTTTTCTTTTCCAAGAATAACTTCCTTCAGAATAATTTTCTTTTTTTTTCCCAGTTATTTGTCACTGAATAAGTTTTGTATAAATCTTGCGTGGAATACATATAACCATCACAAAATACAAGTTATGCTAATTATTATTAGCTGGATTGACCAATCGACTGAGACAGAGATTGTTTGGTTTTCCTGTTGAAGCAGAAAAAACCTTTAGAATCTAACTCTGGGATAAGCATTCATGATATGCATTCACAATCTGATTCCCATCAGTAATATCTTTTTAATTAAAACCCACATCTGATATCATCTCTCTTCCAATTAAGTGTTTTGCTATAGCAGTTGCTGGAGTGTTTGTATGTTTTGCAAATGTGTTGAAAACAAGTGTGTTTTGTGTGCGATTCTAAATGGGGACACAGGTGCTTTGTGTACCCTGCAGGCCTACATTAAATCACAATTACTCTGTGGCAACCACGAAGATGTTGCCAGTAGACAGAAATGAATTAGAAGTGAATTCCCTAAAATGCAACATTTTTTTTCCTTAAGGTAAATATACAGCTATTTAATCTATAATACCCTTGCAGAATAGAAAATTTTTCTCAGATTAGGCACTTTGGCATATTAATAGCAATGAAACTTTTCAATACCTCACACTTTAATCACTTAATATATTCCTTTATTTTTTCTTTCAGTTTTGGTATATTGACAGTCGAGGGTTAGGGCACTCAAACCAGGACACAGGTGATGGCAATCAGTAGCATAAAACATTTTGTCTGGTAGCCTTGACTCATTTTTATTGCAGAATAAAATGACATCCCAATAATATCAATATAAAGAATCCACTGTAAAGTGGTATAATGTAAGCTAAATGAAGCAACTTGTATTTGATCTTACCTGATATGTTGCCAAATGTATGATCAAAATCAGGACCACTCATAAAGGGAAAGGTAGGACCTTGAACTCTCTCCCAGTCTGAATCATCATCTAAATCTTGTATCCAGTAACAAAGGCTGTCTTCAAAAGTGCAATTGATTTTCTCATAATCTGTGAATAAGTACCTCTAGTAAACAAAAATGACTGAGATGCTACGTGTTTTCTCAGAATTACATAAGAATGAGTGACAAACAATGTACATTTTAAAATATGTTTGGAAACTGGAGCCAACAGTGACTCAATTTCCTCATCCAAGCAATGCAATATAACTACACAAATAAATGTATCATTTGTACTTGCTAACAAAACACTACTGCTGAAGGTGGCCCTGCATGCTCTTGCACTCATTCATCAATCTTGTTTTTTGATCCTTCACCAGTAATGTGGTTGGGGAATGAGAGAGCACCCTTTGCATAGCTGACACTAAGGAATAACCCTGCTCTTTTCCTCTGTCTCTGCTGAGGTCTGGTTGCTGTGAGGTCTGGTGAGCTCACCACCAGAGCCGAATGCTCAGAAGATAGGTGCTATGCCTCACGAACCTGGAATGCCCCATTACTTGTCCTTCTCCTTTACTCCTTCTTTTCTTCATACATTTGCTGCAACATCCTCATCCCTTCCCATGATATTTTTGCTCTGTGTCTTTTCACTGTGCCTTGAAGTGCAGGTCAGCACCCAGCAAGGGCTGGGAACCAAACGTTCACTGGTACCCTGGAAACTTCCTGCAGCATATCCCTTCCCAGTCACATCCCTAATTCACATTCTGCTGAAAATGTTGCAGCTAAAGAAGCCTTCACTTGTTCAATTTGCATCTAAATTTTATTCTCCCTACTATTAAAGAACACCAATGCAGAGTCATATTGCTGAATTTTGTTGTCACTGTAGACTATTTCCAATGCCTATTTACTGAAGCAGCTATTTTCCTACATGTTAGGTTTACCATTTTGGACTACTACTTGTGGCAATGACTTAAGACATCAGAAACTCTGGAGAGCAGGTACTGTCAGGTGATCACACAATAATTATTAGTGTGATTCAACAGTGTTCACTAGTGAACAAACTGGCTGAGAGGAATCTGATGGAGGTATGGCCAGAGTTTTGCTTGTATTTAAACAGATTAGCTTTGTAAGGCATCACCCTACTGCTAGATACCGACCTGTAAGCCTCTGGACAGTCTTACTAAAATCAGTGATTTGAACTCTAAAATAGCAGGAAATTTCTCAAAGTGAAACTAGTTGGTGTACTGAGGCCAGAAATTACTGCTTCCCTTTTCATCTCCATTTTTTCAAGCTGAAAATATAGTTTCACCAAACTTACAGGATAACAAACACACATATACACAAAGAATACTTACTGTTTAGTTCATTTGCATTAAATGTAGTGTATGTTGCATTAAAGCCATTGTAATTTTCAGAATAATCAGATATAAACTGTGCTGTGGCCTCATGAGAAAAAACGTAAATTGTCCCAGGATTAGTCCCTGACAGAGAAGCTGAGAATAAATAAAGAATAATATAGTCAGAGAGAAAACAAACCCATGCACATTAAAATCCCCAGTGCTGTCAGAAGAAATAGCATATTAGATTTTTGAGTCTTAAAGAATGCTCTCCCTATTGCACTGTGATTCTGCCTAAAACGGTTTCAAAACCCTGAGGGAATTCAGCTGTTTGGCTGCCATGTAAGTATTCTGCATATCCCATCTTCCAAATCCATCAATATGGATATCAGCTAGTGGAGAGATGTCTCTTATGATACACATATCCAACCCTATAATCTTTATATCCATGCTTATTATGCTGTAAATGTTCTCAAAACTTACAGATATGCACTCTGAAACTCTAGAATCACGGTGTTGATTACATATTTTTGTTATATGTACTTACTCTCACAGTTTAATAATTAGGACATCACTTGCAGATACTCAAAGAGTAAGGAAACCAAAATTACACAGGAATTTCATTTTGTGAGGTATGCAAGAAGGCATATGGCACAGGAACACTTGCAACGTTCTGAGAAGTGCCTGAACAGGGTGCTGGATAATCTTATCTAGGCTCCCTTTTCCATGGAAGCTTGGACCAGAGGATCTTTCAAGGTCCCTTCTAACCTGGGTAGTTCTATGTTGCTATGGTACAATATCTGTAAATTTTGACTTTAAATTCTGAATTAATTTCACTCATATAAATGCCATATACGTGAAATGAAAGGAATGATACAAGTCATCATAAAGCAAATCTATCCAAAGCTGATGAGGCCAGGCAAGAACAGTTAGACTGGTGATGGTATTTAGCATAAAGAAAATGCTGAATCCCTCCCTGTTCTGTGATGGATTTTGCCTCTTTTCTTTCTCTTATGATTTTTTTTCCCAATTTTCTGCAGATAGACTTTGCTTTTCTGAGGAGAAGCTATTTACCTACCTATAATACTATATATGTGAAGCAGTGACAAATTATTAAGGAAAGATAATAGGCATCATCTTTCACGCTTCTAATTAAATGTGTTTTTTTCCTTTCTCCTTCTCAGGTTCTTTTACTGACTTGAGTGCAATGTCTTAATATGGAAATGTCTTGTAGCCCTTCTTTCCTCTGTGTTTGCTATTTCCAATACCTATAAATTTACCCCTGAGGCTGTAAACTTTTAAGTGATCCACTGAAGGACAGTCTTTAATATTGTCTTTATGTCTTTGTGGTATCACTGGACATCTCCACAGCAGTCCTTAAAACCATGCGAGTTAATGGTTGCTGCACAGAGTATTATTGAATCAACTTCTCATGTTTAAATTGTAATTCCAAAGATGGGTCAAATTTAAAGCGGTAATGAAAGAGTAGAGTTCCTCCATTCTTTCTTTTTTAAGTCTTTTACTATTTCTTATTCCCATTCTCTCCTTGCTTCCAAAAATAAAGACAAATAATAACGTCTTTCTGACCTATCTCTATACATATATATTCAAGTATATGCATTCCACCTCTGATGGAATTCAACTGGATAGTCTGTCTTGTGAAAAATGTACAGATTCCCAATTTTCCAGAATAGAACATAGAGAAAGAGATAGAGTATTGTTGACATTTCAAGGTCTGAGGAAAGCAATATCATACTTGTAATGAATTTCAGGGAATATCATAGTACTTCCTCCAACAGCTTCAGTTTAGATGTTTTCATTTTATGTTACTGTGTGTGATGTTACAGGATCTTCTGACAACATACTTCTAATGAAACATGAACCCTGCAAGGCTGTAATTCTTGTCAAGTTATCAAGATTGTTCAAATAAGACCTTTTAAAAAAGCATAAATTTCTTAATATATTAGGGAAGCATTTATCTGCTCATTTTGTAAGAGTAAATACATGTATCCGCATCAATTGTTTAACAGAGTAACTGTACACAACAGATGCATTCTTCCACTTTAACACATGTATGTCAATTTTTTCACTTCAAAATGTTTCTTTTACCACTTAGTTTTTATTAATTGAAAAGTAATATTAGCTGAAAAATAACCTTACCTCTTAAAATCTTGTTTTGTCCCACACCTTCAAAAATATTTAAATTGTCCGCATATTGTTGCGTGTCAAAAGAAGTGAAGTTCAGTTTAATGGATAAGCCTTGAGGCACTCTGAGAAAACAAGAGAAAAGTAAACCTCAAAACTGAAATTCATGTTCTAATAATTCCACTTTTTTTATTTTTACTGTAGTAAATTCATTGACTGCTTGAATGGTGTTAAGTTCAGAAAACATGTGAAATTACATTGATCAAGATGACATATTCGGCTAACTTCTAGTTTGTAAAATTACCAAAGGTATAGGGCATAAACTTCTTATAACAGTAAAAATACTCCTTTGCTCAACAGAGTTAAGTATATACTGCTCTTATTTTTAATAGGAGAGGAAATTACGTCTTTATTTAGGAAGGAGCTAAATATGGTGAAAAATGTAAAAGCTTTTCCTAAAGGTAATGGGGAAATCTTTCCAGACAAAGAAAGATGGATGAAAAATCATATCTTGGATGGGCAACTCTTAACATATTTTTATAGAGATAATAAAAATAACAGGACAAAATGTCTCTCATTGGTAACTGGAAACCCCAAAGTGTTCCCCTACAGAAGTTTTTTTTTTTTGAAAGAGAGTCAAAATTTGAGTACCACATTGAGTTTTTCAGGCTTTTACAGTCAGAGTTGCCGGATTTTTTTAAAGCAGATAACTGGAAAATAAATATAGAGGGTTGTTTTTGTCATTGATCAATCTGTAATTAAACAGATCTGCAGCACCTGTACTATATTATTTGCAATTGCTCATTCTTTCCATTCTTAAACCTTTGTTGGCTGCCTATCTGCTATAGATATCTACCTAACACAATGTTTTTCTTGCAGCTATAGCAGTGCTTAAAACAAAATGACCAGCTTATAATGAAATAGTACACTTGAGACATGATTATCATGCTCAAAGACTGTGACACTATGAGCTGAAGAACAAATCGTGCTTATATTCTGAAGGGTACAATCTTATGCTTTTCCTGTGACACACCTATATTTCAAAACCAGGTGCAGTCAGTAATTATGGTAACTAGTACTGCTGCAGATGAGAAGAACAAATGTACTAAACAGAAGGAAAACCGTGGCTGTCACCTGAAGTGTCAAGGTGAAGACAAAAGTCCTGAACAAACCCAAAGGCTAACACTTTCAAAGGAGCCTTGTGAAAGAGAAGTCAAAAATCCTACCTGATTTCAAAGGCATTTCCATAATCTCCTTTGAAACTCTGCTACCAAATTAATATTTCTCAGAATCAAAGAACAGCCATTATTACAAAGCCATAATAAGAATTACTGCCTTTCAAAGCAGTAACGTCTGAATTGGCAGTCATTGTAGGGACTTTTAGGAGCTTGCAACTTGCAATCATCCATTTATCACATAATATGGATATCATTTTTTTCTCCCTGGCCTGTGAAACAGGCCTAGAGTAGCAAAGTCAAATAGCTGTCTCTCCCCATAGGTTTGTATATTTGATTGAAAAAATTCCACATCTTGTGCCTAGGGCTTAAAAGGCATTTGGTGTTACTGTATCAAATGATACTCATGTGCTTTTGAAGCATATTCTTAAACGACTTAGGAGCACAGGTGCTGTTAACTCCTAGATGAAATGTGTACCCATAAATGACAAGGGAGTTCTTGAAAATTCCATCTCTTATAAGATATAACTGTTACTAAAACCATTACCTAAAGACTAGCATTTACTGTAATAGTTTGAAACAAATATCTTGCCATTACTTTATGTGATTTAGTTTGAGTTTACAAATATGTTCCTGTGCATGCGTATAATAAACAAGATTTCTCAATATCATACTTAAGATGTTTTTTAAGTAGGAAAATTATTTATGTAGTTAGGAGTTTTAGGCATGCAAGTTTTAAAAGAAAAGTTATATAAACACAAAAAAGAACATGCCGTTGCATATTTTCCATGCTGGAGTATTTGGGAATACAAACAAACGACATAAAGTTGATGTGCAGGAAACAATATCACTTCATAATCAAAAAATGTTAGGTAGAAAAATATTGGAAGATGGCTTACGCTATAATCCATTGGCAAACGATATTTGCATTATATGGTTTCGGATAATTCATAGAGTGAAAAAACCCAGAGGAATCAGTCAACATAAATTTTCCATCACAAACTGCAGCTGTAAAGATATAATGAAGAACATTTGCCAAAACGCCATTCAAAAAACAGAATCAGAGCCAAAATGAGGGCGACCTTAGATATTGGTTTACATGCATTACCATAGATATGCTTTGTAAGCAACTATGGGAAGACAAAGTAAAACACAATATCAACTTCCACTTCTAATTCCTATAGCTATTTGATCTCAAAGTACTATGCGAGAAGAAAAGCAGTACAGAGAGAATCCAAACTAGTCTAAACCAATTCAACTAGTTCATATCCAACAGTTAGATGCAACTAATCCAACTTTTTTCATTATTTTATTTTATTATTTTTTATTTTATT